TTTTTTTTAGACGTTGTTCAAGAATCGGATCGGTTCCCGAAACATTTGCGGCAGAAGTTTACCGAGCTCAAGAGCAAGTATTTGCCAATAGAAATCTGTCACGAGCTGACGGTTGAGGAAAAGATCCCGCATTCCATCGACTGGTTTATGGAAGGGTTTTATATCTTCCGGGACATGGGTTTGGATCTGGGTACCATCAAGTATATGGTTCGTTCGGCGAAAGTCGATTTGCGGTTCGTTTTTTTCTTCTTTTTTTTTAATCTTGCCTTTTTTTGTTGGTGTGATGGGTGGTGATCAATCACCCATGAGTACTGCGTGATTATGATAATCTGGGGGAATACATAATAAGGAGCTGAAAAAGGGCATGGGTTCTTTTTTTTCTTTTCGCAGGTGCGGGACCCATGATATGATGGAGCTTTTGAATAAGAACGAAGTGCCTTTGTTGGTGTTTTCCGCGGGGCTCGGGGACGTGATTGAAGAGATTCTCAAGTTCCAAGACAGCTTGACTCCCAATGTGCACATTATTTCGAATAGATTCGAGTTTGACGAAAGCGTACGTATGCATTTAATCACGAGGGGGTTTTTTAAAGGTCTATTGGGAACTTTAAATTTCTGGTCCATTGAATTTCCTTGTTGAGTCCACCTGTCTTAAGAATATCAAAACGTTAGAAATATTTTCTTCGGAAATTTCGAAGAATTCAGGAAACCTGCGAAAGTGGATGATGAATATTATTTCCTGAAGTAAATTGTGCATTTATTCTGTCATTTAAACTTGTGTGATAAAAAATTGGAAACGCTTTCAGGAAATATACAGTACAGTACTAGGAAAATATTTGTTGTAGAGAGAATTTTGTTGCAGAGAACTCTTCAATAGGTTAAGAACTCCCATGGGACCCAAAACATGTGCCCTATAGAAGAAATCATTGTAGAGACAGTTTAATTGTTGGTAAAAAAATACTTGTTACAAGTTTAGTAATTTTTTTACTGGGCAGGGGTATTTTTAATGCAGTAAAAATAAACTGACAACAAGTACTATATTTTCGTATTTAAAATAAAAACTCCCATTTCCATTCATCTTTCAAAAAGAAGAAAAAAAATCCCCGCGATAAAAAGTTCAAGGCTGATGAAATTTATGAACCAACCAACCATCAAATTTTCTTCCCCTTTCTGAATTTAATGTTTGCTAATTACAGGGGAAAATTGTTGGCCTGAAAGGAGACGTGATACATCCGTTCAACAAGAACGAGACTGCCACAGTTCATTCCAACTATTTTGAAGATTTGTCTCATCGTCCGAATGTCATCTTGATGGGAGATTCCACGGGGGACGCCAACATGGCTGATGGCGTCATCGACCCCCGTTTCGTGCTCAAAATCGGCTTTTTGAACCTCAATGTGGGAGATTTTTTTTTTTTACAGTATATCAGTCTTATTTTTTTAGTAAGGGTTATTTTTAATACTGTACAGGAGTTTAGTACCGTATTTAAAATTAATTCGGAGGTTTTATGAAAACTTACTGAGCACTTAAATTCTAGTGATCCATGTTTATCTTAGATTTAATTTAACATTTATTAATTTTGGAGCTTGTCCATCAAAGCTTATTCAACTTGTCTCCGTGATGGTAGATATTGCTGGCAGTCACAATGGCATTTTTTCTCTACGCTGAGTCATTTTAGGTTATATTTCATCTGCTTTTTGGTCCTTTTTATGCGAATATGACCATGTTTACTTTGAACAACATGTAAAGTTTGATTTGGCTCTGTGTTCCAGCATGTTTCAAAATTAACAGGAACTGCATTCGTAGGTTTTATAGAAGCTTTCTCAAAAGTATTTTTGCCGAATTATTTTTTTTGAATTTGTTTCCCTCTAAAATGAAGTAACGTGTATTGATGAATATTGTTTCTGTGCAGATTGAGCAGCGATTGAAATCGTTTCTGGACACTTTCGATGTGGTTCTGTTGGATGATCAAACCATGGTGCTTCCGAACCAGGTCTTGGGAGCTGCGGCCGAAGCTCACAAGAATGATCGCTGTGACTGATTTATTTAATTATTTTGGCGGCTAATTTTCCATCATTTACAGTGGATACGTCTGCTATTTTATCGTTCGAATCTGATTTGTGAAACGGCGTTCGTTTATTCTTTTTTTTCTGCTTTTTGAGGGCACGCGTTTTTGACCGGTGAAGAAATTCTTCAAAATTCGTTGTCTCCACTGTCGTGTTTCTTGTATTTTTTTCACGTCATATTTTAGTAAGCAAAAATATTTCTGGGCCATTTTGAAGCAAGACCGGTTCAAAATAAGAGGTATCTTTATTTTTTTAATATTTCCTTATTAGATCATCGAAAGTGGTTGATAGAAATAATGGAAGTTCCTAATATGCCCGTTATGGAATCACTTCAAAGCATTCATTACCTGTTTTTATTTTAGTCCTAAATGTTCTAATGAACTGCGAATTTCATTGCAGGTAGACTCTTCACAACAAAATTCAAGGGACTAGAAAAATTCGCTGTAAAGAATTCGAAGAACGAGAAGAAATTCGTTGTAGAAAAATTCAAGCTACCAGCAATTTTTTTCAAGATAATGTCGTTGTAGAGATCCCTTTAAGACAAAAAAAAAGATCCTTATGCAGAGAAAATTGTTTTGGACATGATCATTTAGTTAGAGTCCACCTGTGTAAGGAATTTTCACAGGTTTCTAGGAGTTTGTTGTAACCAAATGTTACTGTATATGGAAGCATTAATCTGTTTCACATGTCTTGAGGATTTATTCCAAAAATTCTGATTGAATGCAAAATGAAATACTGAATCATGAAATAGCAGTAAAAACACCGAGGAACAAGGAAACAATAATGCACAACGCAATAGGGGATTATAGAAGATGAATGAGAATCTTCGATGGATTTCTTGAACTTATTGTTTTTTTTTTCAGATGTTCTCCAGAACGTATGTTCTGGCTGTTTTGATTGTGATTATCGCAGTTGGTGTGATGTCATGGAAGCGCGAGAGACGCCTGAATTTCGACGTGGAATTGCCTGGGATTAGTCCTCAGGAGGCTGCTGCTTTTGTGTTCAGTGCTGAAAATGCCAAAAAACTGAATCCTCTCATGTGAGTCACCATTCATTGCAGAAATTTTTTAAAATTGTTTTCCGGGAGAAAGAGTATACTCAATGGATTAAAGGCTTCTAATCTTGATTCAAGTATTTCGTGCATGGGTAATTCTCTGGAAGGAAAATTTGAAGTGGAGCCTTTTGCAGTTTGTCATGGCAATAAATTCGGTTCTAGGCAATCTGCTAAATTAAAAATTGATACTTTTCTTGGTCTATTTCGAAATGAAGATATTTTATGAATATTCATCAATGAAAAATTATATTGTTTAAATTTAAGACTTTTTCTTCCAATTTTTCATTCAAATACAGTGAGACCCTGAGATGTGGACATAATTGGTGTATCAAGATTGTCCTTATGTTGAAATGTCCCTAAGTCTATAGTCCCATTTTCACTTAGACTTCAATTCCAATGTATTTAATTGATTCTCCTTTTTGTCAAAAATTATTAATAAGTCTTCAAGAAATGTAATAAAAATTGTTTCCGTCAACTTCAAGTTGTAGAAGACAACAGTGCAGAACAAAACCACATAGAATCTGATCTTCTGGTATCAAAAGCAAAGAAAAAGAATAAGTCTTGCTAGACTTTGCACACATGATCAAAAAAAACTTTAAAAAAGAACCACCAAATCAGCTTGCTTTTGATCATGAATTTGAGTCAATTTGTCATGAAATATTTTTTTCAATTTTTGTTAATATAAATAGCTTGATTTCTTTAAAAGATGTTAAAAAATTCAATGTCAATTTTTTGGGAAAATTTCAGAGAAGTGTCCCTAACTTGAGCTAATGTCTGGATGTTGGGCCTGATTTTTCTGGTTTTCAAGTGTACTTAAGTTGAATTGTCCATATCTTGGGGTGTCTGCATATCAGGGTCTCACTGAATTTCATGCGTGGGTAATTGCACTTGAAAAAAAATGAAGTGGACCCTTTCTTCAGTTTTTGGTGGAAATTCACTTGGTTTTAGGCAATCTGCTAATTTGAAAACTAATACTTTTCTTGGTATTTTTCAAAATAATTATATTTTATAAAATTAAGATCTGAATTGAGAGCATTTTTCCAAGGAGAGTTTTAATCAAATTGTTATTCCCGTTTTTGTGAAAGATTTTTCCAGCTTACTGTGTATGATCTTACATAGTTGAATTCTGAAGTACTGTATAATTATTTATGAGGGAAAATTAAATTTCAAAAATGTACCATCAGTGGTTTTTCTTCTAATTTTCATCCAAACATTCTGTGCATGGGTGATTTCACTTGAAAGAAATTTTGAAGTGGATCTTCCTGCAGTGTTTCATGGCTGAATAATTTATGTTTTATGTGAATTTTCTAATTAAAAATGTGTGTCTTACTTGGTCTATTTTGCTTTAAAGATTTTTTTTTTGAATTTTGCCTGTGACGAATTCGCTTCCAAACTTCCTAATCTGCTTCTGTTCAAAATGCTAGAAATGCTTTCAATTATTTTCTTCGTTATTGTTGTTTCAGAATCAAATTCAAGGTCATTGACGAAACTGAAGGTACTGACAAGTACCGGGCGGAATATGCCGAGTACTTGCCAGTATTCGGAACCAACAATGGTTACGCTTCCTACATTCTACTCGGAAGTCACGACGCCAAAAACCCCGACGACGGCGAATTTTCAATCTCTTCGAATCACACCAATTGTGTCGTCTACGATTCATTTTGCAGTGAGTTATTTATTTACAGTTGATCTTTGCGAGTCGATTAATGAAACGTTTTGTTTTTTTTTTTTTGCATAATTTTCTCAGCCGACAGTTGGAGTCGAATGTATTTTGCACCCGGTGACAGTGGAGGGACTAAATTCCGAGAAGAAATTGGAGTCATGTGTCCCCTGCTCATGAACGATTTCTGCCTCACGCAGACGTTGGAAAATAGGAAGGAATGGATTCAGAAGCTGACGGATTTACTGGCAACTTCGGCATTCAATTTCCGATGACGCCGTTTTTTGTGTGTTTGTTTTACATTTCATCGTACTTCAGCAGTGTACTGTATTTTGTATACGCGAATATTAAGTTTTATTGATCTCTCTCTCATATTGACGACGTATTTTCAAAAGATCTGAGTCGAGAGCATTTTTCCAAAGAGAGTATTAATCAAATTGTTATCCCCGTTTTTGTGGAAGATTTTTTCCAGCGTACTGTGCATTATCTTGGATTATTTTTCCGGTGTTTAACCCTGGTTTGTAGAATGTTTGAGTAGATGTCGCCTGCATCGCGTAACCCTGGCAAAAATGATAACAACTATGATGTTTTCAACGAACAAGAAAAACATGAGCTTGGCGAACGAGAAAAATGTATAAATTTCTTCCAATTTTGAGCTGTTTAAAACATTTTCTCACTTACGGTACGAACAGAAAAATTATACTTGCATTCAATTATTTTTTAAACCATGAACTCGAACAATTATCGACTCCCGACTAAAATCGTGCTTCTGACGAATTAAAAAGATAAAGATCCAGTTTTTCTTGAAAATTGAAGCTTTATTGAAATTACAGCAGCTTCATTTGAACCCGATGTTTAGATTGAATTGTATGTCAGCTTTGCTAAATTTATCAAAATAAAAGATTGAGCAAAGTTTTTCAAACTATAAACTCAAGCAATTATACCCCGATTCCCGGAATAAATCGTGTTTCTTAAAGAACTAAAAATTCATTCAAAAGCCAGAATGATCCAGTTTTTGTGGAAAATTGAAGAGCGACTGGAATTACATCAGTTTCAATTGAATCAGATGGTTAAAAGTTCGGCGTTAGCTTATCTTAATTAAAATAAAAAAAAGAAGGATTGTGCTACTGTAAGATTGTTCTTCACATTTTTCGAAGCTAGAATGTTCCCATATTGGTTAAAAAATGCCTGGACAATTTTTTGAATATCTATCGAAAAACAAATTTATTTGAGCGCAAAGTTCAAGAAAAACTCAATTTTGATACCTGAGATCTTAAAGCTGAAGTAATGTATTTGCATGAATAATCATTGAATTTATCTTTGAGAAAAAAAATTCACTAATTTTTAATAACATGAGTGGAATAATTTCTGGTGTAATTCAGGCTCCGAATTGAAAATAATTTGACTAAACCAGCCTCGACTCCATATTTAATAACTTAGACTTAACCCAATCATCTGCAACTTGACCAAAGTTGATGTTAATGAAATTGTACGATTCATGCGACACCTATTCAATGAGTGAAACCTTAGATTTGGGGACGATCATTATTTCTTGCTTCAGTTTTGAACAACACTTTCGCGGTACTTCTTCGTTTTCTTTTTCAGATGTGATGCGTGCGAAAAACAAGAAATAGTTTATTTTTTTATACGTTCGTGTAAATATGTGTTCAAAAAGACGCTCGGAAATTGAAGATCTCGATGCGGACTGCAAAATTTCCAGACAGGATGATGCTCGGATTATTGAGACACAAGAACTGCCTGGTTTGGCTGCGAGGATTTTAGCAATTGAAAAATTACTTTCAGGACGATTAAACAGTTTGGATTATGGAGAGAAAGTGGAATACTTGTACAATCCGATTTTATACGCTGAAGACCTTCACACGAAGTTCTTGTCCAAGTTTCTGGTTGGACCAACGGAAGTTTTCTTCTTGGGTATGAACCCTGGACCTTTTGGAATGTGTCAAACTGGTGTGAGTTGAATTATTCGCAGCAAATTCTAAAAAAAAAAATTGAGCGTGTTGGATTTTTTCTCATTTTTAATTGCTTTAATGTTGATAATATCAGTGTACTTGTGAAAAATGGGGAACTGAAATTTTTCAAATTTTTGAATTGAGCATTTATTGTGTGTGAGGAAGGTGCAAAAGTTTGATTTGCAGTGTAAAAAGGATTAATTGACATTTATAAGAAAATATATTCAGTATATTTTAAATTGTAATGAAGGTTATTTAAATTTTGACTATTAAATCAAGTCCAAGACTGACTCTTCCCCAAGTTTTGACTTCAAATTTTGTAATTGGAACATATCCTGAACTAAATCCGCAATTCTTTTCATTCGTTTTGCAGATTCCTTTTGGTGAAGTGGGAATAGTTAGAAACTGGATGCAGATTGATGGACTGGTTGGGAAACCTGCAAGAGAACATCCAAAGCGTTTGGTTCTGGGAATGAGCTCAAATCGGTCAGAACCAAGTGGGAAACGATTTTGGTCATTTTTTGAGCACTTGTGCAAATCTCCAGAAAACTTCTTCTCCAAGGCCTTTGTTTACAACTACTGTCCTGCTGCCTTCCTGGATTCCAAGGGAGCAAATGTGACTCCAGTTGACTTGAAGGTGTGCATCAATTATACTTTCTTGAAGGATAAGGAAAGTAAAACTTGAACTTTCTTGTCAAGTTGGAATATGTTGTTCAGAGGACCCATTTTGGAACAGACTTATAATCTCCTCCCAGTGAAGGACACAATACAAAAGGCCATTCTACAGGGGGAAGCAGAAACTGATGTAAAAAAAATTAATCCAATCTCCACTTCCAAAATAATGGTGGACTCTTGACAAATGCCTTGTCTCCAACAAAATTTCTCAATAATAAAACTTTTTGTTCATTAATTGTTGGGGCCCATGGGATTCTCTTTCCCTGTTACAGGGTTTCTCCAAAATAACAATTTCTTTGCTGGGACCTTGGATTTAGTTGTACAGAGAGTCCTCCTTTACAGTACTGTACTTGTTTTATTTTTACAGGAAGATCTTGCTATACAATAAAGCCTTTTAGATCTGGAAAAGCTGTAGATATTTTTTATACAAAATGTTTGTGAAGGAATTGAAATAACATTGTAGTAATGGGGGAGTGACATTTTAAAAAATATTCCAGGTCTCTTCAACAGTTTTCTTTGTACAGCACTGTATCTCTAATTCTTGTCCCACACAAATTGTATTTGGGTTCTCTACAATGAATGAATGAATGAATGAACAGAACACTTTATTTGCCACTTTTCAGCGTTCACAAGGTTCAATCAAGATTCCCACAACCAAACCCCCTTCCCACCCAAACCAAATCCACTCAATGACATTTTAATCACTTCAGAGCAGGAAAGCACAAATTGATAACATCAAGGTTCAATAGAGATTTCCACAACCAAAACCCCTTCCCACCCAACCCAAATCCACTCAATGACATTTTAATCACTTCAGAGCAGGAAAGCACAAATTGATAAAAAAATAAAAGAAAATACAATACAACATGAAATACAACTGGACATCTGACATGTATGCATACACCCATTCATTCCCTGACATTGGTAACAAAATATATGTAAAAATTAATTTAAAGCACAAGGTCTTCAGCTTGTTTCTGTATGAGGTTTAGTTGAATGAACAAATTACAGAGAATCTCTGATGAGGAATCATATAAAGCCAACAGTTTATCTTGATCCATCAGTTAAATTTTAGTTTTTCTTCCTTTATTTGTCTCCTGTTATTGGAAAACTTATCCATAGTACTCTCCAAATTGATTTTCAGGGATTTTTGAGAAAACCTTAGATAAAGTGGAGAAAGGAACCTACCATGACTTGAGAAAAAAGCTCCTCTTTTTTTCCGCTGGGTTAATCATCAAATATATCATCGAACAGTTCTATTCACACAGTTTGCTTGCGGACCACTCGAGTCATTTGTTCGAACCTTTCATTTTCGATTGACAGAACAAAGCCGCAGAACTTTTTAATTTGGAATTTCTCATTTTTGAATATTTTGAATACATCTACAATATTATTATTGAATCATCAGCTGACAATTTAATTCCAATAGATTGAAAAAAATTAAAATCTCGTTTATTTTGTCCACGAACAATTTGTTTGGATGATTTAAAAGCAGCTTTGATCTGTTAAGGATTCAAGTTGCGAATATAATAAAAAATTGCGCCTTAAATACATTAGGTGTAGTTAAAACTTCATATTTTCAACAAGCTGTTTTTAACGTGAAATTCAAGATGCAGCTTTTGTTTTTAAACATAAGAGTATATAGAATTTTCAAAATTCTACGAAGTGCATCTTTCTCGAATATTTTCAATTAATAAATCACAAAAAAGTAATTCAATCAAAGTGCTGCAAATAAAACCTGCATCAGGGGCTCATCATAAAGACGGTATACAATATACAGTTCCTAGAATCTCGAGACTTCATGTTCTCTTTTCGATGAGTAGATGTCGCCCCTGTATGCAAACAACCGCGGAGCAAACTTCCAGATTAATCGTCAGCATTCCACGAATAAATAAATTTCCTCTTTGCTGGGTGCTGGGCGTAATTAAAAAAGCCTGATTGGAAGCAATCTTTGCAGTATTTTTTTTTTTTAGGCACACTATACGAGGATATATTGCTTTCTTGACTGCGGTGAACCCAAGCGGAGACGAAAATGAATTGATGAATGAATCAATTTCATCCGTCCAGGAAGAAACTCTGCAAAATTCATGACAAGTGAAGTGAGCTTTAGTTCATTTTCAGTCTAGCGGAACGCATTCCCCGTCACCGGCAGTTCATAAACCTTTCAGCAAAAAAAAAAAAAAAAGAAACCCAAAAATGCTGTTGACTTCATCATGGTTCCATATATGAAGCTGTTCTCAGCAGCTCCTATATATACAGGGTGGGCCAAAACAAGTGAACCAATTTTCGGATTAGGATATCCCCTGTTGAAAATTATGCTACAACAATGAAAAAAACCAAATGAAAGCTTATTCAATTGAAATGATTTTTGTTTTAGAGTCCTACGTGTCATGAAATGGTCACAAAAACTATCATTTGAATGAAAACTTTGGGAATTTAATTTTAATTTTGGGAATGTGTGCTCACTAAGGAAGGTACCACGGATTTGATTTTTAAATTTCTGCCCCCCACTTATATCCAAATAACTCAAAGTGGTTGAATCGTTGGTCCACCAAAATGATCAAACCTCTAAGTGGTAGGATCTTTGGTCTACCAAAATGGTAAAACTTTTTTTAAAAAGAAAAATGGTCATATAGCTTTGGCTTACCAAAAAGGTCAAGCCTTTGGTGTACCAAAAAGGTCAAGCCTTTGGTGTACCAAAATGATCAAGCATTTTGTCTACCAAAAATGGTAAAAGTTTTGGTTTAATATGTACAGTGCAACCAAAATGGTCAAAGCTTTGGTTTACCAAGTACAGTGCAACCAAAATGGTCAAAGTTTTGATTTATCAAGTACAGTTACAACCAAAATGGCCAAACTGTTAGTACAACCAAAAGGGTCAAACCATATTGGTCTGCCAAAATGGTTAAACCTTTGGTCTAGCAAAATGGTTAAACCGTATTGGTCTACCAAAATGGTCAAACCATATTGGTCTACCAAAATGGTTAAACCATATTGGTCTACCAAAATGGTCAAACCATATTGGTCTGCCAAAATGGTTTAACCTTTGGTCTACCAAAATGGTCAAACCATATTGGTCTGCCAAAATGGTTAAACCTTTGATCTACCTGAATGGTCAAACCATATTGGTCTACCAAAATGGTTAAACCATGTTGGTTTACCAAAATGGTCAAACCATATTGGTCTACCAAAATGGTCAAACCATATTGGTCTAGAAAAATGGTCAAGCTTTCAGTCTACCAGAATGGTCAAGCCTTTGGTCAACCAAAATGTTAAACCCAATGGTCGAGTCAATTTGTTTTTAAAATGCTGTCTGAATTCCCTTACAAACAATACATTAAAAACCTCTCTAACTCAAAGGCCTTTTTTCTCAAAGCTCCATGACGAAACTTTTCTGAGGCCTTTATCCTATTATTTTCTTGATGCAGGAAAGGGCAAAGCAATAAAAATGTAACTTGATGTGTTTTGAAAGGGAGCAAGCAAAGGAAAACATTTGCCAAACTAAGCCCCTGATGCTGCCTCCAAGCTCAGCATCCTGTCAACTCATTTAAAAATAAATTTATGACATAGAATATCACCTGCATTCACTTTTTTCCCCAACTCATAGGTCTTTCCCAAAAAAATGCTTGCTTCTCTAATAAGACAAATTCTCAACCCTTACTCAATTTTGTTTTCCTGGTCCCCTCAAATTCAACTTGGAGAGGTTTGACTGTAAAATATCTTTAAAACACATGCATTTAATGACAATAGGAGAGGAGGGAAAAAATTTACAAAATGTTTGGACACCCCTATCTTGAGTGTGTCCACAAAATGGCGTAGCCTTCTTATTCGCACATCAAAGAGCACAGGAGCGCAGACTGACTCTGGACAAGCGCCTCAGGAGTCGCCCGTGATTTTGGTGCCTCTCAAAAACAATCATAAAAATATTGATTTCCAGTCAGCAATTATTTTTAATTAATCAAACAGATGGAAGTTCGTGAATACTCTGGACCATAGTTGGAGAAAGCAACAGCAAAAAACAAGGAAGTACCGTAATGCATTCAACAGGAAATATCACCTGTGTGCAGTGAGAACACCAGGGGCTTCTAAAAATTAAATTCCAAGAGTTTACGAAAAATCTTCATTAAACTAGCAAAAAAAAAAAAAAAAACTGGGGACACTTTTTATATATGATTATCCATCTTTGAAATATTTTATAATTACAAGGAACACAAGAATTATCGAAAAAATGAAAAATGCCAGACAAAAATGGATAATTATTAAAATTTAGATGAATTAACTCATTTATTGAAGAAGAAAAAAGATCAGTCATGCTCATCATCAGAAACGGAACAAATTATAAGCAACTAAATATTTTTGCATTATGATGTTCATCCGAGTTGTTTGCTTTATTTTTTCTGTGATGGACTCAAATTTCTTTTTTAGAAAAATTCTTATACTCATATTTGTTGATAGATCCTCGATTGTGAATTGGATTGGAATTATTTTTATATTTTATCAATCTACTTGATTCAGGATAATTTTCAAGCATATGGTTCAACCACTTATCCATCATTGGAATATATTTCACACTCAGCTGCCTACAGTTCTGATTCAATAATTTCTGAAGCTTTTTAAAATTAATTAATAATTACAATAATTTACAATTTTGATTCATAATTTGAAAAACAAAATCTCAAAATCATTGTTTAATAATTGTAAAAACGTATTCACAATGAATTAATAATTTTAACTTTTTCAAAATGAATTAGGAATTTTCAAAACTCTTTAGAAATCAATTAAGAATATTCACAACTTTTTACAAATTGATTAAGAATTTTCACAACTTTTCAGAATTGATGAAGAATTTTCAACACTTTTTCAAAATTTATTAGGACTTCTCAAAACTCTTTTCAAAATGTAATTAAAAATTTCCAAAATTCTCAAAACTTTCAGAAAACCCCTGAATAGCGGCCTCTCTCACTATATATATAAGGGGATTATTTATGCCTGGCCCTCGCAACCTCGTTT